GTGTACTTGTCACGTGGCTCCTATTAGCACGTCGCAATTTGACGTATATTTTACCTGAGGGGCAAAAACTGTCCTACTAGAAAATGGTCGCGACTGGCGACATTGACATATTGTCCCGTTTTCTGTTTTGGGTCCTCTGGTAGGTTAGGATAAGGGCACTTTAGTACGACACTTTGTTGACGTTGGGGACGGGCAGCACGTGCACTTTGAAGGGATGGTTTGATAAGGAATATCTGGGTGTGCGGTGTGGAGGCAGGTTTGTGGTGTGGGGGCAGGTGTGTGGTGTGGAAGCAGGTGTGTGGTGTGGAGGCAGGTGTGTGGTGTGGAGGCAGGTGTGAGGTGTGGAGGCAGGTTTGTGGTGTGGGGGCAGGTGTGTGGTGTGGAAGCAGGTGTGTGGTGTGGAGGCAGGTGTGTGGTGTGGAGGCAGGTGTGTGGTGTGGAGGCAGGTGTGTGGTGTGGAGGCAGGTGTGAGGTGTGGAGGCAGGTTTGTGGTGTGGGGGGGCAGGTGTGGTGGTGTGGAAGCAGGTGTGTGGTGTGGAGGCAGGTGTGTGGTGTGGAGGCAGGTGTGCGGTGTGGAGGCAGGTTTTGTGGTGTGGGGGCAGGTGTGTGGTGTGGAAGCAGGTGTGTGGTGTGGAGGCAGGTGTGTGGTGTGGAGGCAGGTGTGAGGTGTGGAGGCAGGTGTGTGTGGTGTGGGGGCAGGTGTGTGGTGTGGAGGCAGGTGTGAGGTGTGGGGGCAGGTGTGTGGTGTGGAGGCAGGTGTGAGGTGTGGAGGCAGGTGTGTGGTGTGGAGGCAGGTGTGTGGTGTGGAGGCAGGTGTGAGGTGTGGGGGCAGGTGTGTGGTGTGGAGGCAGGTGTGAGGTGTGGAGGCAGGTGTGTGGTGTGGAGGCATACTCTGACCAGTGAAACAGGTTAGGGAGAGGAAAGCTGCTAGTACATGAGCAGAGTGCTGATCAACGCAGCTGTTCGTATAGCATGTAATTGTACATCGCGTCATACGGTAATGGTGTTCAGTCTGAGGTGAGAGATGGCTCTGTGTTTTATTTGTTCTGGTAGAGTCTGGTACAGTTCCGAGGGTGGTGATTGGTAGAGTCTGGTACAGTTCCGAGGGTGGTGATTGGTAGAGTCTGGTACAGTTCCGAGGGTGGTGATTGGTAGAGTCTGGTACAGTTCCGAGGGTGGTGATTGGTAGAGTCTGGTACAGTTCCGAGGGTGGTGATTGGTAGAGTCTGGTACAGTTCCGAGGGTGGTGATTGGTAGAGTCTGGTACAGTTCCGAGGGTGGTGATTGGTAGTCCGGTACAATGGTCAGGCTCTTCTGCTTGTGAGATCTTGTATGCCTGGTGGCGCCTAGCTTCTTAACTATAAGCCATCAACCACATTTATCTGTTCTTGAGTGAGTTCAGGGTTCATACTCTCTCTGTTTAACGTTGGTTTCTTCTCATAAATGTTCAGTTTTCATCCATTTAGTTTTCATCCTTCAGTTTTCATCCATTCATGTGGTGCTCTTCATGGCTGTGTTGTACTCGCCTAGTTGTGCTTGCGGGGGTTGAGTGTCGACTCTTTGGTCCCGCCTTGTATGGCTGCACGACTGCCGGGGCGGCATTATCTAGGAAGGATCTCACTGCGTGGATGTAAGATGTCCTGAGAATGTTGTGTTTTAACGCCTCTCGTGTGTCAGGACGTTGCAACCCGTTCTCGCACTTTCTTGCAGTCAATATTGACTTATTAAATAAGTGCATATGTGACATACTAATTTATTGTGAATATTTTAGTTTACCTTGAAAAGCTTCATAAAAAACCTATACCTATGATAGGTTAAGTAATAATTGTAATTACGAAGCAATAAGATGCTTATCTTAACATACTAAGAAGGTTAGGTAAGGTCGGTGTTTTCTATGAAGCTTTAGAAGGTAAACTAAAATATTCACAATAAATTAGTATGTCACATATGCGCGTATTTAATAAGTCAATATTGACTATACAAAAGTGCGAGAACGGGTTGGTGAGGACACAGCTACTGCTTGCTCAAGTCTGCCGGCTGCTCTTTCCCTTCATTATAATTGCCGAATTTTGTCCTCCTCGTCAGCACACTCTCCACATAATATATATTTAGTCCTTTACTTTATCCAGCTCAAAATCTTGGATGATGATGTATTTGCGAGAGGGATCTTGCATGGAGGGCTCATGCTTCCATGGGGATAGTTTTATTCCAAGGCTCTTGTGTTATACGTTGTTGAGAGCTGCTTGTGCTGGAGGTGAGAGCCGCTCTTGCCTTGGTGTGACGGCGAGGCTATTGCTCTTGTTTAGAAGAGTTGTCTGGTGGCAATTCGACCCTGTCGAGCGGTGGAAGGAGTACTCCATACGTCATTTTAGAGGGCGTCTTCTGTTGGGGAAGATGTCTTGGCACCGCCCTGATGTCACAATGAACTTCTTCAGTGCAAGTGTTGTGAATATAGTGAGACAAACTAACCTGAGGCAATTTTGTTGACTAACGGTGTGTA